AATAACATTTGGAGCCACAGAGAAAGAAAATCAAAACCTCAATTGAACACTTTCTTTTTGGGAATTTATGGATGAGTGATAATATTTATGCTGGTCTCACAGAAACTTGCCTCTTGGATGTTATTTTGCATTTGAAAAAGTGATTTTGACCAAATGAAATGACACAGCAAGACATGCACCGTTTGTATTTTACGTAGCATGTGTTCTTTCTTTCAGTTCAAATATACAGTAGTTGGGGTCTGTTCAAAACAAAGTATTCTGAACACTCATGAAATATAGAACATCTGTGTACAAACCAAATTTAGCTTGACTTGGCCGAATTAAGTCTGAGATCTCAATGAAATTTCTACTCAGTGTGTATGTTCTATCAGGAGAGCAGAAGCAGAGGGCCCCAACTCTCTCAACACACACACCCACATTCACATGCACACACACATTTACATATACTCCTGCCCCTGTTGAACATGTAAGCAGACATGTATTGCATGTGATTGTTGGGGAAATGGAGTGAAAAACAGGTCTGGGGTTGCGGGTTCAGGTTGCGGGTTTCAGAGTGACGAGATCCAGAAGCCAGAGGCGCTTGGTATTACCCTGGTGCTTCCTGCCCCGCTGGCCTGGGGCCGGGAATGGGGATCGGGTGGAAAGTGGATGGAGGTTGAGAGAGGAAAGCGGGGGACCATTTGAAGCCGTGGGCCAGGATGCACCCTGCCCCACAGGATCCTCGGCAAGATGCTTCAACACAGCCCGCTGCTCCCACACTCCTACCATTGGGCCCCGAGCCTCGACCAGATCCCACTGTGGTTTGTTTTACAACCTTGAACCACAGTTAGCCTTCAAACCCTCAGCAGGGTAATCAGGCTCTCTCAAGACTCCACTTTTGCTCTTTTCCAACAAGCCTTTTTACTTATTTACTCCTTGGCTCTGTTTAATAAGATTTTTTTTTATCCATGTAACACTCTGTATATGTGTTTCACTTTATTTTTCTTACAATTCACTCTTTCCTATCATGCAAGTTCTGGATGTTACTTCAAAGTCGTCTGCAGCAGGAAAGTAAATCCCTCACTGGTTACACCTAATACCTCCATGGCATGCAGCAGCAGTGTGTGTTTGCATGAGCTTTTATGCTGTTTATCAGTATAGAGTGCATATGCATTACCTAATGTGTGTATTAGCTGGTGCGCTATACATATGCCCAGAAGGTTTCGTCTTGAATTCTATTGCCAATTCGGCACATAATCCCAAATCTGCTACACGTTAAGAACTCGGTCCTCCCACATGTCTACTTAATAATACAAATCATGACTGATGCTCTGCCCAACACATGCATAGACCCCAAGAATGCTAAACAGAGGAACATAACATGCAATTAATCGCCCATTTGTAAATTTGTATGAGTATCTTCTGTTCAGAGGCATTTAGAACATCATTATTTTTTTCTCAATGATGAAGCACCAGTCGCTCTTTCCAAGTCCTGCATTCCGGATGCATAACACTGCCATGTCTTCACTATTTTGTCTGCTGTTTCCCACTGGAGGGCTTGAATTGGGTGGAGGGGTTGACTTTGTGCCATAATAATGTTGGATCGGGGCCCTCATATTTCAGCTCTGATGCGAAATCGGCCCAGTGGCTTTTCGGACTCAAATTGGGTTTAAATTGTGTCAGAAGAGGGAGAAATGTTTTTTAAAATAATAGCCATGAACGCTGTGAAACAGAACATTCTTATTGCAGAGCTTTTGATCCGTTTTTATAAATAGCAGAATTTTGTCGTAAAAAATAATGTTTCTGTGGTCTTTTCCTGCAATTAAAATAAGGTTGGCTCAGGAACAAGGGCAAAACTAAGTACTTGTGTTTGAGAAAAAATTCCCGTTCTCCCTCTGCCCCCCTTTCCCTCTCTGCCTTCCTCATCTGCGAAAGCATGTCATTTATGACTTGTTATTTTCATTTTCCTCCATATTTTCCACATAGCAGTGGCAGGCAGATGTCTGATAATGGCATGTGAGACCCAGCAGAAGGGTGTGTTCCACCTGCCTCGCTCTGTATGTTTTTAGTTTGTCCGTGTATGGTGGGCAGAGTAAGCGCCGTGCTTTCCCAAGGCATTCTCTGATTCCTCTTGGCCAAGCAGTGTGGTCTTCACATGACCAATCAAATATGTCAAACCGTCAGTGTTTTCCCCCCACATGTACAACAAGAAAATCTGGCTTCAATTATTATTGCACCCCAAGGGGAACTTCCAAAATTCCTCCCCTCCTCATTTGTCAGAAATGAAGCTCTCTCGTTTCCTGCGATTTGCTGAAATATGTCTTTTGATATTAAATCACACCGGTTTCCACTGGATGCATGACCAAGACAAATGTTTATCATATTTATTTATGTCATTGGAGATGACCCTGCAGCTCAGCAATGCAGAGACTTGGCTGCAGACTCCCATGTTATGTTGATTATGAGTAAGAGAGTCTCCTAAATAAGCTGAAGTTAAGAGATAATTTGGAAAGCACATGAGGTAACTGTGGTTTGTTTAATGTGAAAAATACAGTTTAGGGTTGGGGAGGGTGATGGAGGTACTGTTACAAAAGCCCTAATGAATCTAGACTGACACATCCCACCCAAATCTTACAGAGCTCTTGGTTTGATTTATATTATACTCTGTTGATAAATGTGGTTCCAAATGTTGATTAAGGATCTGTTTCACTTGTTTGTATGTCAACAAATCCAGCTAAATCCAGTTATACACCTCTGATCTCCCATTGCCATTGTTTTTGTACTTGGTGCTTATTGTCATAACATCACGCTCTGGTAGAGACCTTTCCAGTGTGACAAGGGAAGGGAAATGCTATATGAAAATTGCCATTGACGTTGCCGAAACAAATAAAACTACTCATGCTGCTGCTACATCTGTAGCCATTTTAAGCCCTTATTTATACCATTTAAGCTCTCATTTGAATTCACCAGCACAAATAAACATATCATAACGAACCAAAAGCCCTGATGTCATATGCAGATGTTGAATTTTGATTATTCCTTTTGCCTCATGAATTCGTCAGGATCTTGTCTCTTAAAGGCAAAATAGATGACATCATTTTTCCTTGGCGCTGATGGGACAGTGTTTGCTCACTTGCCTGTGGCAGTTCATCCACAGACACAGTGCTGCCCACTCCTGACATATCTCTACATCTCTTCTACCATATTACAGTTTGTGTATACTGTAGAAGTCCTGTGTTTCTGGAGACAGAAATAGAAAGCGAAAAGGCAATAACAGCCACAGTCTCCAGACTACTGTGCTGTCCAGCCAGGGTTTAAGCAATGTTTACTGCCAATGATAAACTGGCATAAATCAGAACTTTATAAAAGGCAAATGATTTCACCTGAGGCCTGTGGGGTTATTTATCTTAGGTCTGGCTGTACGAGCACCAGAGGCTTTGATTTAGTCATAAATCATCCTGTAAGAAACATGTGCTACTAAACCACTGAAAAGGCAGAGGGAAGAAGTCAGTAGTGGTTAGGGCCTGGTGCCAGAACATCTTTACTGGTTCAGTATAACAGACTACCTGGCATACTCCTAAAGTTATGTACTTCATTGTAATTGACTATATAAAATCCAGCCTGACCCAGTGTGACTGCTTTTGGAATAAATAAAACCTATTCATGTTTTTTGTTGTTTTTTTTTTCCCCCTTTTACATTTGGATTGTTTGAAATTAGGCACCTGCGTGTTGAATGTGACTTATGCGCTACCTTTTAACATATAAGCTGCAATATACAATTGAAATTAAAGTCTGTGCAAAGTGGTACAAACTATGTGGTCGGAGTTTGTCACACCACAGAAAGTTGTGTTATTACCCTTCAGCCAAATCTAAATGATTGGAAAAATTGGCAAGTATATAAAATTTGGTTTTCAAACTAAAAACATAAAAACAAAATGGAGCAGTAATCTATGCACTAACCATGCAAACAGACCTGAATTCTCTTTCACTTAACCAAACAGGTTAGATGTGAGATTACAAATGCACACTGTAGACACAGAACATTTTCAGCACTGTGGACTAAGTTACCTAATACTAGTATAATAAACAAAAGATTCCAGGCAATTTATACTCATTGGTGAGCATTTACTGGCGACGATGGCACTAGAAGTTGGCAGGATGAGAGGATGAAGGCCTGAGAGGGAGATATTTTGTTTGGCCCCATTATCCAGTAGCGGATTATATGTGAATGCTAGTTGTTTCTAATGAAAATGTGGCTCCTTACAAAATCAGTCCACCTCCTCCTCTTCTTGACATCAATCCTTGTAAATTAGACATTGAGACAGACGTTTTATGAAATCTAGCATCTAACAAATATGTATTTACTGGATGAAAGCAGCTCGCTAGCAAACTGAAGGCTGTACCAGGCGTACTTGCTCAAGTGGGGGAAAGGCTGATGCTAAGGTGATCTTGTTGATGTAACAGTGGTTACGCAAAGTGTAGAAATTTCCGCCCTACCGAAATTTTGAAACCAAAAGTAATGATAAAAGTGTTCTCAGAAATATTTTTCCTGTCATGCAAAATGTGTTACTTTACACAGACTTTCAGTTTCATCCATCCATCCATTTTCTATACACTGCTTTATCCTCTGTAGGGTCGAGGGGGGCTGGAGTCTAGCTGACTCAGGGTTAAGGCAACCAAGCACACTCACATTCACACAGACAATTAGAATCACTGATGAACCTCAACATGTTTTGGACTGTGGGAGGAAGCCAGAGAACCCAGGGACAACCCACACTGCATGGGGAGAACATGCAAACTCCACACACAATGACCCCAAGCCAAGATTTGAACACAGGACCTTCTAGATGTGAGGCGACAGTACTAACCACTGCCCTACCACACGGCCCTCAGTTCCAATTTCAATTACATTACGTTGTTTTCTTTTCTTTCTTTCTTGCAAGTTGACTTACTGGAATTCAAAAACTAAAAGTTAAGCTCATCTGTATGGAAACTCAACCTTTTCTCTCTTTTCCCTTTAGACGTGCATTGAACCTTGGCATCCTGCGTGACCCAGGCTCCGAGGTGGAAGACCGTCAGTATCAGATCGACCTCCAGTCCATCAACATTGGAACTGCTCAGTGGGAGCAACTCAAGCCAGAAAAGGAGGGAATCAAAGGAGGTGTATCAGCAGAGAATGAGAGGAGCTCCCAGAATCCAGCCCTGGAGTGGAACATGGCAAGCAGGTTAGGAGGCATTTCATTATTTACAGGTTAATGCTGAGTGGGAGATACTAGACGTCCCAAAACTGAGTCAGTATTGTCTACAGACCTGCAATATCTCATGGATGTTTTGAGATGTATTTGAGACACATGTTCATGACTTGACCTGTCCAGGGTGTCCCCTGCCTTCGCCCTAAGTCGGCTGGGATAGGCTCCAGACAATTCAGATGACCTGCACTCTATACTGAAATACTGCCAATATGGACATGCATTTTTTTGAATACTAGATATAATATGTACTAAATGGTTCTCAGATATGTCAAATGATTAGTCTGTAGTGACATTCAGTGTCTTGCTATAATTAGTACAGTATGCACACCATTTTATATTTCACCTTTTTTTTTCTTCAAATTCTTATGACACACATTTTGACAGTTGTAAGTATTTTAAGTTGAAATAGACAAAAACACTTCAGTTTTGCACGTGATGTCATTGCCTCAAGTTGTGGGAAGATGTGTGGAAACCATTGTCGCCCCAGTGGTGCAGTGAGTAGGCCAGCTTCTCTGTGGTTACAAAGGTTCTTCTTCCAGAACAACCACATATGCAGGAGATGATTTGTGTACAGATAGAACAACATAGCAAAATGAAAGTATGAATAATCAGGATGACAAAGTCGTAGACTTGTGAAACACATGAAGAACATAATCTGGGACAACACTGAGCAATTTTTAGGTGCCTCCACACAGGATCTGAGCCACAGTAGCTCTTCTCTACCATGGAGACTTATACTACGAATGCATAGGTACAGTCTGATTTAACTTGGCTGAGTATGACTTATTTTCTTAAAGCATTGGAGTGTGTGTGTGTGTGTGTGTGTGTGTGTGTGTGTGTGTGTGTTTTCTTTTATAAACTTGAATTTTGCTTATGTTAGATTTCATTGTTACGCCCACAGTCAGGTGCTGTGTGTGTGATCTTCCATGAATGTCGCATAATTTATATCATCAGTCTTGATGTGGGAGCAGCATGTAGTTATTGAGTTAGCTCCCTATCACGGAGCGTCTCCATGCACAGTCATAATTACAAATCCTGTCATTTTTTTTATAGACTCGGGAGCTAAAACAAGCATGAGTCTAACAGCCTGTTTGGCCCTGCATCCTTTTTTTCCACTCATGTTTTGAGAGGGAACAGGCCCAAAAATCACAGAATCACAGGCAAAGAGTCCAGATTTGTTCCCTGTCAACTAAAAATAAGCCTTGTGGAAGAACGCAGTGCAAAATCAACACGGGCCTGATTGAGACTGAGTGCTCTCGGGTCATCAGGTCTTGGAATGAGGCTTGCTGAGATACACACACCTTTTCACATGGAGACACAGCCACAGTCAAGCACACTCTCCAGTGCAGGCACACATAAGCAATCATGCATACTCATTACAAACACTGATATTTTCTTTACTGTTTGGATCACACACACACACACACACACCTACACACACACACACACACACACACAGTATGGTGATCTTTGGAGGCCCGCCAGGAAAATGCAGAGGCTGCTGCTGCTGGTGATACTGATGTTGAGCCCTCAGCTCTCAGAAGTGCAACTAGACCTTTTATTGTGGCAACCAGTCCAGATTTATTTACAACGGATCCTGTTTTTGCTTTTTTTACAGTTCCTTCTTATTGGACCTTGCTACTTTACACTTTCTCATAAATACAAACAATGGCCTCAAAGCATTTTAAAGCCAAGCCAAAGTCATTTACTGAAAGACCTCTTGGTCAAGCAAATATACTGAAGCTTTCTAATAAAAGCTGAGACAATAGGAAGAATGAGATTAAGTTCACAATACAATTTAGGTGCTTACCACATCTTTTCAACCAGCACTTTTACCTGTTTACACCATGCACTGGAGAAAGAAGAATATAAAGAATGACAGAAGCATTTTGTGCCCACATACACCTAAGTTTCCCAACTTTTATAAGTGTTTGGGTTAATGTGTTTTTCATTTTATTAGTATTTGCTGCCACGTGTCTATTTCAATAAAAAACAATAATTGCTTTCTCAATTTCTTGTTTGGTCAGTAAAAAGATCAAAATTCCTAAATACTAATGGTAAATCTCATTTCAGGGATTTAGACAATGTATTCAGCCAGAATGACTCAGAAAGAGCAAACAAGTGGAGCTTTTAACATCTGACATTTCAAAAAGACAAAGGAGTGGTCCTATGGGATGGTATCTCTAGCTGCAAGACCACCCTGATTTCTTCTCTACTGTTTCTCTTTTAGTTTTGACCATGTATCCCAAAATCCTCATATGTCTTGACGGTCTCCAACCATGTCAGCCAGGGTCTGTTGTAAAACAGCCCTTTTAAGTAGCGGACTTGGACCTTTGCTAGAGTCTTACACTCTTACTACTGAGTCAGAGAAGCTTATATGAGCAAGGGGCTTCTGAAGCTCAATCCACTCACATTTTTCTTTCTTTCACTCTATATGTCTCACTGTTGATGAAAACAGGGCTGCACAGGCCTTGAGCCAAGTCCTGACTGTCTGAAAGGGCAATGAGGTGAGATTTTGGGCTCACACTTTGGGCTCCAGAAGACGCTGGATGCCATTTGAATAGGTTCAACTTTCTTTAGACATACTATAGCTGTGGGTCTGGATTTCTATTTAGAACTTGATTATTGGATGACCTAACATGCAGCTTAACAGTTACTTTTGTACTCAAAGGATTGACCCACAGTATTATAGTGTAAAGGTCACTTTGACAGTAACTTGTTAATAATCCGAAGGCTTTAGTTCCTATGGAGCATCCAATTTTTAATACCAAATTGATCCCTCTTTAACATCAATTACTGTTTTGCTATTCCCTTTCACCTTGCTCCCTCCATGTAATTAAAAAAAATATAGCAGTAAGCAAGTGTGCCCTTTTGTAGTCACACTGAGGGCAAAGTTGTTGTTTTTGAGGTTTTGAATATCACCCTAACTCTCACTTTTAGCCTCCAAACAAATTATTCAAGGTGGCTGTGGTTGCCTCCTTTCCCCTCTCTCCTTGCCGTGGCAGGAGCAGCACTGGAGACTCTATTGGAAAATGGGCTTTGCTGTACTGCAGTGTGCTGCACCCCAGCCTCAGCCACCACCACCACCACCACCAAGTCATAAGTGAACATGTGATTTAGAATGTTCCAACACACTGAGGAAAGGGGAGTCAAGTTCACAGCTTTACTTGTCTGCTGCAATCACTTGCAGAAATACACCACCTTGGTTGTAACAAGTTTTGACACACTCCACTTCCAAAGTTCACACCTTTCCCTTATTCCTTACATTGATACCCCTCTCTCGCTCTGCAGCTTTACACTTGTGGCATGTTCTCTCTGCTGCTTTTTGGGTTCAGTTCCAGTAGTTGCGGATCTGCAGTGGCCTCAATTTGCTTCCTGAGGTTTTGTGAGGAAATTCCAGCACCACGGATCCACTGACAGGATCTGTCCTCGTCACAGTTTGTAGTTGCTGGCTAGGAAAGACCCTGTGTCAGGGAGCTGTGAACTCTCTCCATCGCCCCTCCTGTCAGCCACCCACTGCAGGCCTCTCATTGTGTTCATGCCAGTGATATTCCGGTTTACTGCTCACACTGTATGGCAAAGAATGAAAGAAAAATCAATGCATCTATCTTTCATTTGCACAACACCCATTTAAATGGACACACACACACATGCGTGCGTGCACACACACACACATTCATATGCACACACACAAGCAGACACACACAGCCCCCCATACAGTCACAGTTTTGCAGCCCAGTCAGAGGCTCCCATATTAGTGGTAAACCGAGCCTCATGCCTCCTTGCCTTGCTGGTGAATGATAGCACCTGTCCCCTGCAACGAGACGCTCATTGTTTCAATCCCTGTCTGAGGGGAGATTAGCTAACACCAATTGGCCCCACAGATCATTTCACCTCTGAATTAGGCCTCCCTCAAACTCCCTATGCAAAGAAATGTGTCAGAAAATAATCCCTTAAGGGCACTGGTAATGCACATTTGTGTAGCAGAAGTGAATATGATATTGGTTCTGGTTAAGTACTGTACTCGAGGCCACCTAGAAACTGGGCCTTTTATAATCCTGGCCAACTATAAATATTGGAAGCTGTACCGCTTGATTGTTTTAATAGCAGCAGATGTGGCAATTAACACCACCTTATAAAGCCCACTTGTATATTTGTTTTACTGCTAACAAATGTTCCCACAAATATGACTTGATTGTGGGAATGAACATTAGCGAGAAGGAGAGAGTTGATATGAGAAGGTCTCAGCTTGATCTTGTGTATACAATTAAGGGGTGTTCCCAATTGAGACTTGTCAAATAACGTCTCACTCTGTCTCTGTAACCGTATTCAAGCTTCCAGTGAAAATGCTTTCAACCAAAAATTTTAAAAA